CAAATCTATGAGAAGCAGGTTATACACTTTAAACCCTAGTGAAAAAAAATGAGTGAAGGACTTCACTTAGAAATCACAAACTGTAAGGAAGAATTAAAATACACTTCTAACTAATGTAGTGGCAATGAGCTATTTTGAAACTAGTGGGCTGGTTTTAATTCTGTTTGGTAGCTGTTTGGGGAAGCGACACTAGTGATGGATTATAGATTTGCCTCCTGGGCTTCGGGCAGCATCAGGGAGCACGGGGGCACCACGGGCCAAGGCTCGGGCTGAGGCCAGACCACTGGTCACACAGAGGAAGGCAGCAAGGCCCTCCATCTCCCTGCCCCCTCCGCTGCCTGACTCATGCCCTCTGTCTGGTTCTGAGTTCACCTCACCTTTTCTCAGCTTACTATCGGCGTCCTCATACATGTATTTCTGGTCTCTTTCCCTCGTGGCCTCTATTTCTACCTCTTCGCTTTCCTCCTGTCTTTCTTTCTACCTCTCTCAATCCCTGGTTTTGATCAAAACAATGAACTGATCAAAAAAGAGCTGAATAATAAACTTTTATGTATGTTTTATTCATTGCACCGAATTCTGTGTTTTCTGCCTTATACAAAAGCAGGCAGTGCGTGGAGCGTTTCCTGCTCATCTGGAAAACAAATAGATAGTGGGTTTCCTTGATCGAGCCCCACTATGGCTCCTCCCCAAAACCCAGAAATTGGGGACCAGCAATGGAATAAAAGTCCCAGCCTAGAGCTCCTAGCCTAAAGCAAGAGAGGGCCTGTGGCTGTTGCCCGAGTTGTGGGGAAGGACGAGAAGCATGATGGCAGGGAGCATGCAAAGGTTGGGGGGTGCAGTCTGGGTGTATGGAATGGAGATCCCAGTTAGTAGCCGCCCACTCACATGGCACCAGGCCTTTCCATGATGGTTTCTGCCACTTTCCGGCCCTTGCCTTGCTCCTCCCTGAGTGAGCTGCTCCCCCAGGCCCTGTGCTCACCTGGTATTGGACCCCTCCACACCTTTGCTCTTGAAGCTCCTTCTGTCTGGCCTGCCTCGGCCACCCCAGACTGTTCACCTGGTCATCACCTGCTCATCCACTGAAGTTCCCCCTGATCCACGGAACCAGCTAGCATGGGCTCCTCCTTCATGCCCCACAGGGGCCAGAGGTGGGGTCTCAGTCATCCTGGTTCCCTAGTGCCCAGCACAGTGCCTGGCACATAACAGGTATGCAATCAACATACGTTAGTAAAAGGAAGAGCGATCCCATACAAAAAGCATATAATCTTTCATCTCCCACTTTAGCAGAAGGATCTCCCTGTGGTTAAAGCTGGCCCTTGCTGAGGTTCCCTCCCGGATCTGCTCTCCTGCCTGTGAGCCTGCCCCCACGTGCCCTGCACACCCACATCCCACCCGTTCTCCAAGGGTCTCTCCCCCATGAAGCCCCATGATTCTCCGCCCCTGGTACCAAGACACCTGCCCTTCATAGGAGCAACCAGCTACCAGGTCCCTTGTTACCTTATTTGGCTCTCTCATGGCTGTTTCCACCTTCCCTTGTCAGGCACACACAACACTGTTGCCCCATAACCCACACCATGAGCCAGCCCCCAGAGGGCGGAACCTTCACAATGACCAGATGGACTGGTTACGTGAAGGCGTCTCTGCCATCTCGTGGGAGGAGAAAAAGCCAGAACCGACGGTCCTGCAGGTTGCTGGGAAGGGGGGTGGAGGACCCGGGCCCAGCCTCCCAGCGTGGTGACGCGGAACTGGGCGCAGGCGGTCACTCATCCCCAGCAGCACGGGGTCAGAACGTTACACTACCTTGTTGGCCAGTGGGTCTCTTGGTCCGTCTTCGCCTTTCCCAACACTTAGCTCTGACTGCTTGCAATTAGTATCTGAGAGGCCATCTAAAAGAGTCAAGCTGCATTATGGAGAACCCCAGAAAAACTGCGAGGCACAGCTCCTCTCGTGAAGAGTGGCTCAAATGGCAAAGGTTGGTTCCTTCGCCTACTCAGCTGGGCCTTACCAAGGAAATAAGATCAAGAAAGTGGTGTTCGTCTTTAGCATTTATTTATAATTGGAAAAAAAAAACTGTTTGTTTCTGAGCAAGCACAGACCACAAGCACGTCACAATCAATTGGCTATACATGAATATTTTTTTGTCATTTTCTTACTAACAGCAGGAATGAAATAGCACCAAGAGAGGTGTGCGCTACACATTACATAGACAATCTGTGGTATGCAACAGAACCCAGGCCACAAAATCGTAATTAGACACTTCCTGTCTGCCTTGGAGAGGCAAGGTATACGGACCGGTTGGAAGCACCAGCAGAAAGGAAAAACTTGGAGAAGCCAGCGCACAGCCTTAGGCATTGTTTTTGCAGGCAAGCAAAGCAGGTAGGAATGCTTCGGCCTTGCTCTCTTGCCGTGGGTTCGGGAATCAGCAGGGAGATATACAAACAGACTGACAGGCATCGGAAGCTCGGTCATCTTCAGAAAGGCAAAACCAAAATACTGTTTGTGAAACCAGCATCGGTTTCAGTCAGTATGTTTGGGATACAGAATGAGATTGGCTGAGTTTTATTTGTAAACAGTAGAAATCAAAGGAAGTTTCTGGCCAGGAAGGGACACATTCAAGAGTCAAAGTGAACGACAAACAGGGTTTTCTCAGTTGCAGGAGTTAAAAAGATGGGGGTCGGGGCTGGGATGGGCTGAAGGGTTGACAAGACACAATACATATCACATCTAAAGCCACAGGTGGGACAGGGTAGGAAATTCAGTCCCTGGGGCTGCAAAGTGGGTGGGAAGCTACAATTTGGGCAAACAAACTTGCATCAGACACTGAGATAAAGTCATATTTGTGCTGCCACGAAAACAGGTTTATGTATAGGACCCGAGGTGCCTAACATGGTGTCTGGCACACAGGCTTTCAGTACGAGAACATGGAATGAATGTTCCTCTGTGCGTTAGAAGGTTTGATTTACTTGATCTGCAAAACATACATGACTGCTTCTGGAGAAATTCAAATTGTGGCTAACATCGATGTGCCTGACGAATGCCAGATCTTGAGCGAACAAACATACATTGGCAAAATTCTCTGGGTCAGGTCAAATCACGTTGCTAGAGCTCTCTGGTTAATGTTAAGATTAGCTAGCAAATAGCTAGAATCAGTACTGAGATCTGGTCATTTCCAGATAGGCATCAAAATCTGTGATGTATGAACAATGAAACTCACTAACAGTTTCTACCTTCTTCAAAACTTCTCAGTTCCATGCCCTGAGATAGAGAGGGAGGTGACAGTGGGCCTGGCCGAGTGCTTCATTTCTAGGAATCCTGTTCTCTTAACAAATGCAGCCCGCAAAGCACACGCTTGATGAATTTGCAAAAGACGTCTCAGTCAGCCCAAGGTGCCCGACAAAATGGTGTAAACAGAGACTCTGCTGCTAGAATGGTCAGAACTGGAGAGGACCGGGGGAGGCCCTGCTTCCTCCACACTGAAAGGGATTGGCCGGCCCCGCTTGCCACCGCTGTCCTTACACAGTAGGACTTGGCACCAGATGACAGCCCAGCAATGTCACGGTGCCGGCGATGGTCAGGATTTCAAGGACGGGAGAAAGAAAGCATATGGAGCAATGTACACGTCGCAAGGTATGGAAATGTGATTTTTTTTCCCGGTAGGTATTTTGGGTTCCCTCGTGAGCACTGGGGGTCTTTTTACAACTCTCTGACTAATGCCTACAAACACAACTCTAGCACAACTAAGGTGCCACTTGCCACCCCTGGGGGCCTTGGCTACACAGACACGCGAAACACAATACGGTGAGAGCTGCCTTTATTCATCAGTGAGGTTAAAAATGCTTGCTAACCACTTACTAGGGAGCTCTCCTAATCTTCAGCTAAGTCACAGACATTTCTGCTAACCTGAAGCTCGGCATCCTCTGTTCCTCTCCAAGGAACAGAGTGCACAGGGTTCAGGAAGGGAGAGTGAGCGTCACCATACTTGTCACTACGTCTACTTCCCACCTTGTGTTTCTCAGAAGCAAGGAAGCCGCGTTCTAAATAAACTACCCCTGACCCCTGAACTTTCTTCCTCAGTCATCGGTAACCAGTTGCTCTGCAAAATTGGTAGCACTGGATAGGCTGAGGGTAAATGGAGGAGGCTAATCTCCTCTCAATGTTTTCATCTTCCTGTGATGTCTCGAACACACCTCAAACACCTAACCTTTTTTCCCTGGCCTGCGTGGAGGCATCAGTGGTATATCTATCACTTGGCATCCAGTGGAAAGCCCACTGATAGGAAACTAAATCTAGTCACGTCGTTTCTAACAGAAAATTCTATGGAAAGAATTACTTAAACTTAACAGACACAATTCATTTTATGGACGTTAAGGCCGAGGTGTTTTGCTTTTTAAATCGTCCCACAAATGATGTCCATCGCGGAAGCCCAAATTGAGCCTCTAAAGCACATGATAACCCTCTGAAGTTTGGAAAAGAACACATCCGCCTCAAGTTCAGAACTGATCACTGACACAGGAGGAGGGGAGAACAGGAAGAGGACGCCCGTCAGGCATTCCCGAGTGTGACTAGGAGACTTCCAGCCACTCGGAACTGCCTCTGCGTGCCTAGGCCTGCCTGCCCCCCGCCCCCCGCCCCCCGCCCCAGCGAGCCGGCTCACGCACTGTGGGAGGCACGAGCAGGATTCCTGGTGTTCCAGCCACACACACACACACACACACACACACACACCCGCCCCCGCGGTGTGGACCCCCTCGCCGCGCTCAACCGGCGGGGGGGGGGGGGCGGCTGGTCTAGATTTGGAGAGGAGGCACGCCGCGAGGTCTTTGAAACAGCATCCCTCCCTTGAAAGAAACCAAACCAAAGAGCTCCTGGAACACTCAGGACCAAGGCAGAGGAGAAGCCTCTAATCAATTTTGTGGCCTTTTTTGTTGGTTGGTTAAAAAAGAAAAAGGAAAAAAAAAAAAAAGGAAAGAAGAATAAAAGGAAAGTGCAGTGAAATTTACTCTTTAGCCTCAGCCAGTTTATTGTTCATCTCTTTACTTTGCTCCTTGTCGTCAGGCTGGGCGGCACCGGCACCCTCCGTGCTCTTTTTCTTGGAAGCCCGGCCCGACCCCACCTGCTTGTCTTTGGCCTTCCGCGGGGGCTTATGGCTTGCTGAGGTCTTTTTTGGTTTGGAACTCTGAACGCTAGGTTTTTCCACCTGCTCGGAGAGACAGACAGACAGACGGCAAATACAGAAACACAAAAGGGGGGGAGCGAGAGAGACAAGTTAGAGAGAAGACACGATTAGCTGAACAGTAACTGTGATGGCAACACTGGACACTGGGGGGTGGGGGGGCGCAGACCATAAGGTGTTTTCAGTGACGGTGGGTCATTTGGCTTCTCCCGCGTGAACCGGCAGGTCAGTGGCTTTGGCCACACGCTCACTGGCTACATTGGCTCCCCTGCATGGCGGCTGTCGCCACCAAACCACCCTGGCGGTGGATGATGTTCTTTCTTTGCCGTATCTGCTGCTGCCCCTCCCTGAGGGAAGATTATACCTCGTCACCCTGTTCAACTCGGGCAGGCCTATGATTTGATTTCATCCATGAAAGGTGAGCAGAAGTGATGTGGGTCACCTCTGACAAGCTGAAGGGTCAGCCCGTGCTTCCCAGCACCCTCTTCTCTGCTGCGAGCGAGGCCCTCCGTCGCCTGGGGCCCAGACTGCAGAGGTGGCGGGGAGCAGGGCTGTGGCCCAGCCGTGGTGGACAGGTATTAATAAGAAGTCAACCTTTGCTGATAGAAGGCACAGAGATTCTGGCATAAGCCAGCCTTTCCTCTGCTTCTGTCTCTAGGATGGTGAGCTCGTGTGGAGAAACAGTCAGCGAGGCCTTCAGCACTCACTGCCCGCCATCCACTCCTCCTCTCCTGCGGGCTCCCCGGACCTTTCTCCCAGAGCCGCCATTCCAGCCCGGTCGCTCTCCCCGAAACCCGTCCTCAAGCTCTGACCCCTCACTCCCAGGAGATGGCCTGGCCCTCTTTTTCCTGAGACTCTGGGACTGCTGTGTATGGTCCCTCAACATGCCCTCCACCTCCAGATTCCTATCCCCTGATCTGCCCTACTTCCTTCCCTTGAGTCTTCCTTTGTGCAAAGCCAGCCCTCCGTCCTGGGCCCCACCTTGTCTATGGATTATGGACAGAGATGATTTCAGGGCTCACAGGCTAGATCATGTCCTCAGTGAGCTGTATAGAACATCACCGACCATCCTGGTTTGCCCGGGACTGAGGGCTTTCGTGGAACGTGGAGCCTTCAGTGCTACAACTGGAGGGGTCCAGGCAAACTGGGGTGATCAGCTACTTTACATATAATCAGTCCTGGGCTAAACAGGAAACTATTTCAGTGCAAGACTTTCCGACAAAAGCAGAGGACAGGATCTCACACTTTTCCTGCTATTATAGATAGGGGGGCAGATATTTGCAGGAGTCCATGTGGCTTGATGGCACAAAATCAGCTCTGGGATGTAGGATTCCTGCTTCCAGCTGCGTCTCCAACGTGCCTCTTCCCCTCAGGGGTGTGCACTGGATCCAAATAAGCCAAAGTCATGTTATTATATGGAAACCCCTGAATGCACTGCAAGTTCCTCAGAATTGTAACTCATTCACAGACTGTTCATTAGAGTAACAAATTACCCGGAACACATCTTGCAGCTGATGTGACAGGTGTCCCTTGACAGACTAAGAATCAGTGGAGGATGGTGTTTATGGAGGAAAAGGATCATGAGGAGTAAGGAAATGTCCAGGGATTGGAGCTGAGGCTGTGGCAGGGGCAGGGCGGGGAGGGAGGCAGGAGATAAACCTCCAATGGCCAGCTCTTCAGGGGCAAAAGCAGCTAGTTTTAAGACAGGGGTGGATTTAGGGCTCAGGTAAGATTTTCTGCCACTTTTTTGGAGCGGTGTGCTTCTTAAAATCAGACGCTAGTTCTCTGAAAACCTGCCAGTCTTCAAGCTGTTTTATTTTAGGCACTATTCCTTTTGAACATGCCCTTTGAATTTAGCAAAGGTTCCTGGTAAGAGGCCCCTTAGTGTCTGTATGCTATGAGAAGAGAAGGAATTTTCCAGGAGCCCTTGGGGGCTGGGCCCTCACGCTCTGCTGCCACGAGCCCCTCTGTCCTAGGTTGTGCTGAGGGGGTTCCCCACAAGATCTGTCTCACCTTTGGAGGTTCCTTGAAAGGTTCACTGTAGAGGCTGCGTATTCTTCTGCGATCAATCACCTTATTGTCAGCTGGCGTCGGCTTATTGGCTTCCCCTTTGAACTGGGCGCTATAGCTGGTCTCATGAGCCATCTTATCATCTGGAGGCTTATACTGGGGCTTGGCTTTTATTGGTTTCACAGGCTTGATGTCCGTCCATGCTCGGAATTCATTTCTGTGAATCAAAGAAAGCATAAGTGACATGAAACATTATCTGCTGGGAAGCAGTGCTCCCTGCCAGAGGCTGCAAACACAGAGAGCTCACGATCAGTGCTTGTGGTGTGGATGGAGATGTGTTTGGGCCCTTAACATCACTCTTTCCTCATGGGTAACTGCACTTTTTCCTCCCCATCAAGTTAGTGCGGGCTGTGGGAATTGTAAGGAGGAGATCGGGCTCCCAGCTACCACTGAGTGATCAGGGATAGGCAGCCCTAATCTTTGGGCCCCGCTTTTGCAATATCTAAAACGAGGCTGAAAACACGCAATCCATTCAGTCACGTATGGGTCTAACCTATGTGATTGAATGCCTGCTGTGTGTGAGGTCAAGAAAGTGAAAACGAGACCGTGTGTTAGACGCTGGTGCCTGCTATACTGTGACCAAGGCCACATGCCAGGTCCCTTCCCTGCCTTGTCATGATGGAGACCTTTTGTTAGCTAGAGCCCTCAAGGATAATTCCTCCCCTTGATAGCAGGGGGCTCATTTCTTATACTGCCAGAACTTTAGCAATCTTAGTTACTGTAGATGAAAAATACTTATGGAATGTCTAAATGCTTGAAGATCATAAATAAACAACGTAGTGAACATACTTTGGATGTCACTGATAGGACTTGCACTGGGGTGTGTGCATGTAGGAGAGTATTCGTGTGCTCCGGTGTGAATGCCTATTGACCCTGACCCTATGATGACCACCATCGGAATCAGTGTCCGTTTTCTTGTTTTTTTCTCGGTGAAGATCTTATGGATTCTAATCAGCTGTTTCTGATTTGTTATTGGGCTGGAGACTAGCTGGGGACAATGTCCAAAACAGGGTAAAATACATGTAGCTGCTGATGGAGGCCACACAGCCCCTCCTAAGTATTGAGTGCATGACATTTTCTGGGTCTGTTCTCATCTGGGGCCATGAGAAGCTGTGCTGTAGGAAAGGAAGAGTTAGGGTGTGAATATCTGTGGTTAGGCTCTTCCCGTGTCCTCCTCACCCTCATTGCTAATGTCCTGCTTTGGGGCTCAGAGATGAGGGCACAAACAGGAGGCCACAGGGGAGGGCAGGAAGAGCTGAGACTAGGATGAAGGCACACGGGTCCTAGCGCCGCCTCTAAAGAGCGCTTGAGCAGGCTTCTCCCCTCTCCATGCCTTAGCTTCCTCACTTGTCAAAAAAAGACTCAGACCAGACAATGTCCTTATAATGTCCTCCAAGCCTGGAGGCGCCCTGAGTCCCTAAAGCAGTTTTGGTAACACTGAGCCATTTGCTGGTCATTGGACTGCCTGAGGGGAATGGGCTCCTTTGTGAGCTGAGTTTCTTCAGAGACCCTCCCCCAAGCTTCAGACTCGCCTCTCCATTGCAGCTTGGACCCCCACCTGGAGGCCCCACCAACTCAAACTCAACATCCCTAGAACCAGGGGCGCCTGGGTGGCTTAGTCGGTTAAGCATCCGACTTTCGCTTGGGTCATGATCTCACGGTTCGTGGGTTCGAGCCCCGCGTTGGGCTCTGTGCTGGCTGCCAGCTCAGAGCCTGGAGCCTGTTTCAGTCTGTGACTCCCTATCTCTCTGACCCTCCCCTGCTCACGCTGTCTCTCTCTCTCTCCTAGAAATAAATAAAACATTTAAAAAAAATTAAAAAAAAATCCCTAGAACCAAACCATCTTGTCTCGCCTGACAAATTGTCTTCTTCGGTCCCTCATCAGTCAATTTCCTTCTCTCATTCATTCATTCATTCATTCATTCATAAAACATTTATGAGTGCCTAAGGTCTGTCTGGCAAGATGAGCTCTGTGGAGCCCAAACTGAGTAAGAAGGGGCTCTGGGCTCAAGAGGTGGGAGGCAGAGGGAGTGAGGTTACTCCAGGACAATAAGGAAAGAGCCAAGAAAGGGGGAATGGTGAGCATGGCCTGTGCTGGCCCGGGGGGAGTCGGGGATGTTGGTTCTGGAGTGGAGTCAGAGACAGGGCAGGGAGCTAGCCAGGGTTCCGGGCAGAATGGGGTACACAAAGGGGCTGCTGAGACACGGCCCTCGGTGGGGACCTGCAGGCTGTTCGGGTGCTTGGGGTGAAGCTTGTGGGAAAAGCACAAGAGGCTGGCAGATCCTGAGGTCCCGCCAGCCACGCTGAGGGGGTGGTGTGGACTGTAACAAGGAATTGCCAAATGGCTCCAAGCCAAAGATGAATGTGGCCAGATCAGTCTGGGGAGAGAGAACTTTGGCAGCAGTGCGAATGGCAGACAGACGGGGAGAGGGGAGTCGGGAGGCCAGGCGGGAGACTGTGCGGTGAGCCAGGAGGAAAGCCCAGCCTGAACCAGCACAGTGGCAGTGGGGACGGAGAGTGGCTCTGAGTCAAGGGGGAAATGGGTGGGACTTGAAAACGGCTGAGCTGTGTGAGGCCAGGGTCAGAGAGGAACGTGGACAGACTCCAGGATTTTGGTTTGTGGGTGGCAGGTGCTGCCCACTGAGCCAGAGAACGTGGGAAGAAAAGGGGGCTTGGAGGGTTGAGACCCTCCTGATTATGCTAATGGCACCCATCTGCTCTGGCATCAAGGCTACTTTATCTCCTTTTCTGTCCTTTCCTCCTCCCTTTTCCACCTCCATTGGTTCAACCAATCACTATGACCTGACTTCTGAGCCATTCTGGCTCTTGCGCAGGCCTAGAGCTGGCCTGGGTCACAGTGGGGGGGGGGGGGGGCATCAGGACCTCCAGGCTCTCCTTCCTTCCGCCCAGCCTTCAGTACTCAAGAACTATCGAAGCCCCTTATACACAGCTCACAAGTAACAACCTGGCTCCCAAATATATGATGGCAGAATCCGGAGCTCTCCACGCCTGCCCCTTCCTGCTTCCAGAATTAGGACTGAGATAGGTAGATGCTGGTCCTAAAAACCTTTTCCGGATCATTTCTCCCGGGCCAGCCTCTGCAGCTTTCCATATCTGCAGTGGTACCTGTGGGCTGGCAAGTGTATCACTGTGAGCATTATCCAGGGGCTATGTCCCCGTGGGGACAGTTTGATAACCTCTGACCTTAAATAACAAATCTCCACATGACGCCATGTTAGTGGTCCTATCTTAAGTTCACTGCAATTATGATAGACTATTAGGTTGAAACCCACATTCTGTTTCATAGAACTTTCTTCGAACTCTCCACAAAACCTTCCCTAGCCACGTGGAATAACTAATCACACCTCTAAAAAATAGAATTAACTACTATTCATTAGTCACCTTCAATAAGCTGGAGGGTGGTTTGGGTTTGGTATTTTCTCTATAATCCTTACAACAACTTTATGTGGAGGTAGTATTAGATCTCTTTTACAAAAGAAGGTAACAAAAGCTCAGAGAGGTTAGGTGGCTCGTATAAGAACAAACAGCTGGGAGACAAGCAGAGTTGAAATATGAGCCCACGTCAGTCAGGCTCCACAGCCCACATCCTTCCCACAGCACGTGGACAACGTGCTGGAGCTGTGCATGTTCGGCCTGTTCTCACTGGAGGTGTTCCCACGGGCTCAGGCCAGCTGTCTGCAGGGCCCTGGAGGGTTTATGTGATACACATTGGACTAGATGACACCTGAGCTCCTCCAGTCCTGAAATGCTCAGAAAAAATGGGCCATACTCTCAGGTCAGTCATGTCCAGAGCCACTTGCCACAAGTTCATGGTCCCCTGTAACCATGGACTCCCTTGTTTGCGCAGTTAGATTTCAGCTTGATCATTCATTCATTCATTCATTCATTCATTCATTCATTCATTTGGCATTTACCAAACACCAGCTACAGGTGTGACATGTGGCCCACAGGCAGGAGTAAGCTCTGGTTGAGGTGGCTATGGTTTAGTAGGTCCAGGATCTGTCCATGTGTGAGCCGAAGTCAATGGGACAGAGGGAAAGAGGGAAAAGGATGCTTACTTCTGAAAGGGCCACTAAAGAGCATAGACAGAGAAGTGGACAAAAGGAATTCAGGCTACAGTCCGAGTCCATGTGGCAGGTTCAGAGAGCAGATGAGCTGCTCCAGGTATGAAGACTGAAGTTCTCAGAAGGATGCCAAGGTGACTGGGCTGGGTAGGAGCTGTGGCCAGGCTTACAGAGCCAGGAATGCCAGGTTTAGTTGCTTGAGCTGAGCCTGGGGAGCTGCTGAACATTTCTGAGTGAGGCAGCACTATTGCTCCATTGATGATGTCCCCTCTCAGACTGCCCCAGTTTTAATTATACTTCAAGGCCCAGCTCCGGGCTCTCCTCTTCCAGGACCCCCTCCTTGATTTCTCAGCCCAAAGTTTCCTCTCTCTTGGCTCCTGGGTACTTTACTACATTGTTCAATTTTGTGGTCATCTATTTTGTGGTCTCATGTTATTTTAATTATTTCATGAGTTCATTTTATCTCTGTTTAGGGATAAGATATGTAATAGAAAATTCTTGACAGAACTCTGCCTTTGAGTCCCACCTCATCTGCATGGCTGTGAAGGGGTATCCTTCAACTTATCCTGGGTCCAACTGTAGGGTAGGGGCAGAGCTGGGTGAGGACCACACCTGTCTCCCCCGGTCCGGCCAGTGCCCTTCTCTCACTTGGGCTCCCACTCAGTTCCATATCTTTCTCACATCCTTCACAGGATTTAAGGGCTTGGCATTGAGTGACTATTTAATGGGAGTGGCTATTATTTGATTTCACTTCTGGTCAGCTTATGGCTCCTTTCCGGAACCCTTCCTGCACTGTCCAGATAGGGCAGGCACCTGCTCCTGGGAGGAGTGAAAATGTCCTGCCTGCACTCGTGTTCCAGTGCCCATCATGCTAAAATGAGTATGTGCTCACAAGCGCCTGACCTCAGCACCAAGGACAGACCTGCGTTTATCTGTGTTTCCCTGGTGCCCCACACAGCTCAGAGCGATACCCTCAGGCTGTATTTGGAGAACTGCTAAAACCCACACTCCCCGCATCCTCAAGTCCTTGTAGGGAAGAGTTGCTCTTACTAAAGCAAGCATTTATGGCGGT